TGGATAGGAAGACTCAATGTTGTGAAAATGGCAATACTACCAAAAGCAATTTACACATTTAATGCAATCCCAATACAAATACCAACCCCATTCTTCAACAAGATGGAAAAGGCAATCTCCAATTTCGTATGGAATGGAAAAAAGCCCCGAATAAGCAAAGCACTCCTTAAGAATAGAAAATGTTTTTTAATCATTAATTTAAAGAATTATGTGATTTTTATCTTCAATTCTATTATACTGACTAAATAATAAACAATGTATTTGTGTATATGAGAAAAAAGAGAAAGATACTATTCTGTAAAGTATTATGACAAAATGTGTAAAGATCTGGAGTTAAAAAATAAAAATGAAGAACTCACTTGATATTTTTCAAGCTGAAAGAACATAAAAATAACTTAAGTCTTAAGATGCAATAATAAAGGATGCTATTGGCAAAATACTGAATGATCCAGGAAGCATCAAAAGATGATGGAGGTGTAGCATCTGGTCCCCACTGGATCCTTTTCATTTCCTTTCACCTGCTCCCCCCACCAACCAAATTGTGCAGCTCTGCAACTGCATCCCTGCCCATCCTCACCCTTCTGCCCCCAACTCTCACCTCCTTGTACCCCCATTATGTTTTTCCCAATTAAAAAAAATAAGATGATGGAGGGAATACAGAGTCACTGTACCAGAAAGAATTGACTGACATAGAACAATTTCAAGAAGTAGCATATTATTAAGATCCAATGGTAATTAAGGAAAAAGTTCAAGTTGTACTAAAGGCATTGGCAAAAAAATATGGGATACCAACTGGCATGTTTCAACAGACATATGCAGCCTTGGATGTACTCAGAGATCTATGCCAAGAAATTTGGAAGATAGCTAACTGATTGGAAGTGATCTATTTGTTTCAATTCCCAAGAAAAAGTGATCCAACAGTATGTGCCAATTATAGAACAATATCATTAGAATAATATGCAAGTAAATTTGCTGAAGTTTATAGCAAAACCTGTAGAACTGCTAGAAATTCAAGCTGGATTTAGAAGAGACTGTGGTATCAAGGCTTTCACTGCTGAGATCAGACATTTAGTATGCAAAGGCATTTGACTGGATAGATCATAACACGTTATGGCTAACACTGAGAAGAATGGGCATCCTAGAATATTTAAATGTGTCCACGTGAAATCTATACTTAGATCAAGAAGCTGTTGTATGAGGAGAGTACAAGAACACTACATAATTTAAACTCAAGAAATGTGTGCATAAGGGCTATATTCTTTTTTCCATACCTACTCGTTTGTATGTGGAGCAAACACTTTGATAAACAGAACTTTACAAAGAAGAATGGTACCTACAACCAGGAGAGGATAAAATAGATGAATGGGACCTTCTAAGAATCAAATCCTTATGCACATCCAAAAACTTCTCCAACATGGTAAAAAAGGGCAGCGACAGATTGGAAAAACAAATATTTGGTAATGACATGTCAGGTAAGGGACTTATATCTAGGATTTATAGAATATTTGAGTGCTGTAACAAAATAAAGGTAAACCACCCAACTAAAAAATGGGCACAGGGTATGAACAGACAGTTCACGAAAGACGACTTTCAGATGGCAAACAAACACATGAAGAATTGTTCAAAACCTCTAAGAGAGATGAAAATCAAAACAACGATATCATCTCACCCCAGTAAAAACAGGAAAACTTCAACAGAGCAGCAAACAGCAAATGCTGGTGAGGTTGTAGAGAAACTGGAACACTTATTCACTATTGGTGGGAGTGTAAAATAGCATAATCACTCTGGAAGGCAGTATGGTAAGTTCTCAAAAAGCTG